GCACCCAAACCAACAAAATGAAATTTGACAGAGCAAGTGGAAAGTCCTGCATGTAGCATAGTGTAAAAAAACTTTACAAATACAAAACAGAGGAGATGTAGAGTAAGAAGAGTTCACATTCGAAAGGGCTAGGAATCTTGGTGAACTCCAAGCTCGTATCTCTGTGTGAAGCAGCTGCCAAAATGGCTAGCAAAATCTTAGAAAGCAATAATGCCATAATGTTCAGAATAGAAGAATGGGGCTACTGTACTTTGCCAGGCAGACATCATCTATAGTACTGTGGTCCGTTTAACTCCGTAGTGTTCCAGGGAAGGATAAATAAGATAACACACCATCTAAAAGTTACGCCATGTGAACTGAAAGGACTTGAGAATGTTCGTTTTGGAGAACAGAAGGCTGTTCAATTTTAGTGACTAAAATGTGAAGGAGGCAGTCATTTTTCTGTCACTTTATAGGACAGAACTGAGATTAATTAGTAGATGAAAGCAATGGAAAAGAAAGCCTGTGTTGGTTGAATACCATTACATGTTGCTGTGCTAGGTACTTTACATTATTTTATTAAAACCTTTCAGAAACAGATGGATATTTTGGGACTGGTGAGCTCCCTGTGACTGGAAATCAGATCCCCAGCTCAGCGCTGCTCATTTAAAGCAGTGGTGGCCAGGTGTGATGGCTCATGACTGTAATCCCAGTAGTTTGGGAGGCTGAGGTGGGAGGATCGTTTGAGGCCAGGAGTTCAAGACCAACCTAGGCAACAGGGAGACCCCAGTCTCCACAAAAAATGAAAAAAGTTAGCTGGGTGTGGTGGCATGTACCTGTAGTCCCAGCTACTCAGTAGGCTGAGGCAGGGAAATGGCTTGAACTGGGGAGGCGGAGGTTAGAGTGAGCCAAGATTACACCACTGCAGTCCAGCCTGGGCGACAGAGCGAGACTTTGTCTCAAAAAAAGAGACAGGGTCCCAATATGCTGCCCAGGCTGTTCTCAAACTCCTGGGCTTAAGCTATCCTCCTGCCTCAGGAGGCTGAGGTGGGAGCATTGCTTGGGCCTGGGAGGTTGAGGCTGCAGTGAGCTGTGGTCATGCCACTACACTTTAGTCTGGGTGACAGAGCAAGGCTTTGTCTCATATATGTATGTATAATTTTTTTTTTAAAGCAGCAGCCATCACTCTACTGCTTCCAAGATTTAAGAAAGCCATTCAGTCCCTTCTGAAGCCAGCTTCCTATTGGAGGCAGGCTCTCTGCAGGGAGCAAAGGCAACTACGCGTCAGCAACATGGATTTCTAGCACAGCGTCAAAGTTTCAAATCCCCACTAGATGGCTGACTGTGAGTGAGGGGCTGCCTATTCATATTAGCCCAAGCTACTGCTTTCTAGCCAGTCTTGAACGTTGGGATGGGCCCAAGTTTGTCTAGGGTTGAGTCTGCAGGGAGGGTTAGGTGGTACAGGAGAGCCCGAGCGTTCTGCAAGTCGATAAGGAATTGTGTGATGGGATGGAAATGGGATACTTCTCTTGGCCAGCCACAGCCATTCTTCTCACATGCACATATAGTCTTAAGAGTCACCCACGTGATGAAGCCCTTCGGCCTAGGAAATGTTCTGGACAGTGGACAGTGTATCAGCTAGGGTCCTGTCCCAGCAGAACCAGAATTCAACTTGGAGGATTCTGATGAAGAGACTTTAATGAAGGAACCATTACAGAAGTGTGAGCTGGGAATCTTCAAAGGAACTCAGCATCACGGGCACCCTCCAACCTCAAGACTGTGTCTTTGCTGTCTCTTCATCTACCAACTGGCTGGATCCTTCCTCTCATTCTGGTCTTTGTTATAATGCCACTATCTCAATGAGAATTGTGACTGCTCCTCCTCAGCACTCCCTTCTCCCCACTGAACTTTGTTATATCATTTCACATCATCCAATATTTGTATATTTAATTGTGTTTATTGTCTGCCTCTATCCATTAGAATGTGAGCAGAGTTTTTTGTCTGTTGAGTTTATTGCTATATCCCAGCACTTAGAATACTGCCTAGCCCAAGGAAGACACTCAGTAAGTATTCATTGAATAAATGAATAGATGAATGAAGACTAATTGGACTTATTAGAACACCTACAGAAAATTACCCAATGGTGACGTCTGAACCCTCTTTCTTGCTTCAATTTGTTAATTACTTCTTTGGGTGAAGCCAGTTGAAACGCGCAAGGCTTTCATTTGGCCACAAGAGGGTGATATTGGCCAGTTTTTCATTTAATAGACACCTTGTTCTACTATCATTCACTCTCTCTCCCAGACCTCAGAAACAAAACCTGAGACAGGGCCATGTCTGCAGCCAAAGTAAACACACAGTGTGTTTCTTCTGCCCGGATGCTGTCCAAGTGAAATTCAGTTAAAACCTACATCAGTAACAGTTTCTAAAGGAGAGAAGATCACTAGAAAGTAAGAGCGTAGGAAATGTGTAGGAGGAAGAAACAGGCAAAGAAAGGCATCTCCAGCACTTTGGTAGCCATGGAGATGCCACCAGCTGGCCAGATGACCTCATGTTTTGTGCCACATTCTTCTACTTCCCTTCTCTCTGCACCATCCAGGCCCAGTTTGGCTGTTCCTGCAAAAGTGTGAGGTTTCACAATAAAGGGTCTAGGTTCATGGTTCCAATTGTGATCCTCCAGGTGCTCTGGGAAAGAAATACAGTTTACTCAGGGAATCATTCCCTCCTTTATTAAATCCTACTTTGTGAAGATACTGTGTGAAAGGAACATGGGAGATGATACAGAAAGAAAGGGGTCATCAGCCCCAAGGTCAAGGCACACAGTAATGACACCACAAGACAGAAGTGGATAGGGCAGTATGGGAAGCCCAGAGAAGGTTTCAGGAGCATCTGGAAGGCAAGAGAGGCTGTCTTCAGTGAGAAGGGGTCAGAGGCAGCCATATGGGAGTGAGGACATTTGAATTGGGATTCAAGGATTGGTAGGGACAAATTTGTGTTTGGCTATATCTCAAGCACTTTCTGATTTTATACACTGCCTTTTTAAATCACACCTGAATTTCAGAATAATTTTTTTCTCATCTGAGAATGAGTAACCACCTGTTTAAATGAAAAAGATCAGTTTTTTTTCCCCCACATCTTAATCTTGTAAGACATAGCCTGTAGGGGAGATAACGTGTTATTAAAATAGTAGAAGGGGACAAGCTTTGCCTCCACTCCAGTGGTTTCTAAACTGAGTGCCCTTATGCACACCCCAAAGAGACTGGAGAATCTAACAAATAAACACATGATTTTTTTTTTTTTTTTGAGACATCTGGCATTGTCACCCAGGCTGGAGTGCAGTGGTGCAATCTTGGCTCACTGCAACCTCTGCATCCCTGGTTCAAGCAATTCTCCTGCCTCAGCCTCCCAAGTAGCTGGGACTACAGGCGCGTGCCACCACACCCAGCTAAGCACATGATTTTTAAAGTTTTTAAAAATATGGAGCAGAGAATGGAAGTCCTGAGGGGAGTTTTTAATATATTGCCATCAGTGCAGCTTTTCTCAACAGCAAAGAGTGGAATTTGTGAATACCTATTGAGGTCCAAGACTCACAGACTAAATTCACAGACCAACACTGTGGACTCTTGTCAAACATATTCTTTATTTGAATGAGAGACAGTCCAGAGGGAAAACAGGGAAAGAACAAAATGAAAAACTCAGATGTCAAGTAGCAGCTCTGAGTCAAAGGCTTCCACATCCTTCCTGGCTATCCCCAACATGGGGCCACAGCCACAGCCCCCTCCACTTGGGCATGGGGTGATGCCCCCAGGTTACCCCAGACTAGTGTGGTAGTGCTTCTTCCACTGCTAGAGTGAGGAAGGGAAATAAGACCTCCCTCAGCCTCTCCAAGGTGCCCCTGCTCAGCACCAGGGGCAAGACATCCACGAGAAGGTCTGGGTTTATGTACTGCAGATGGAAAAACACATAAGCCAGCAACCTAATGAAGACTAGGGCCATGAAGATGACGTACTGGAAATGCCTGCAAAGAGATGTTCATTATTTGCATGAGAAAAAAAGACAGCCTGAGGTCAAGCAGTGGGAGGAAACCTCATAAATGGTTGGCGAATTGCTTTCTTCAGGCCAAATTGATAAGGGAAAGTAGGGAATAGGGGCACAGAAGGTAAGAGTAGGGAAGCAGCCAATACAGAAAAAGATTGATGTCATGGTCAGAAATTGAATACAATCCTCCTGACGGTAAGTCCTCCAACAGAATAGATGTCCATATAGAAGTCAGAGGTACGAAAGACTTTCCAGGTACTATGTTTTGCTCAGGCCTCTCTAGCATTGTCAGAAAATGGTTAGGACCATCATTTGTGAGCCTTCTGACTAGTGGTTCTTTTCAGGTCCTCTGTAACAAGCAGTTTTAGAATTTGAAATAAGATTTAGCCATTGATGATACTAACATCCAGGTAAAATGATGAGGATTACCTTTCTTCTAAACATCAGGTGTTGAAACAAACCAATAAAAAAGGGTGTGTGTGTGTATAAAGGTTTTCTGTGTGTGTTTTCTTGTGTGCGCTCAAGAAAATTCTACTCTGGCAACAGGTCTAAGACCTTCAACTATGTTGAAATATTGTAAATTGAAGCTTTTTATTAAAGTGCCAGTTGAAGCTCTTTGGGTTCAATCTCATTATTTCAAAAATTAAAGAAGCAAAGGCACACAGAGTTCAATGATCTTTTTTCTAAAATGTCTAAGCCTGTAGGTAAGATGACTAAGAAAATTAATGCACCCTGAACTTTCTTCCCAACAAAGAATATCACAGAGGTGACCGAGTTCAGGACTCAGAAAATGGAAAGGGGCTATACCTAGGATCATAAGAATGAAAATTAAAAGTTAAATGCAACCTATATCTTTATATCCCACATTTCTCAGAAATAGCCACAAATTTCTCCAGCTATTTATAACTGCTGTTTAACTCTGGTGTTTTAATTCTGCACTGAGAAAAATAAGAATGGCTGGGAGACATTTGGGGCTGCCCTGCGTATTCTGATCAGTGGATATGTTTATCCTTGTTCTTTTGGCCCTTATCAGGTAATGTGCAGAGTGAAATGTGGTCTAGGCTAGGTAAGAGCAAGATTCTTCCACTTACTTGTACCAACAGATTCTCTCTTGTTTCTTAATGGTGGTCTTCTCCTAAGGGAAGCAATGAAAATACACAGCTATGGCTTTTCATGTGTTCACAGAGAGGCAGAGGAGCAGGGGCCCTAGAGTCAGGATGCCTGGGTTTGAATTCTGGCTCTGCCACCTCCTAGCTTACATGGTGTGGAGTAAGGCACTAAACCTCATTATTTTCTAATTATAGGATTATTAAAATGGAGAGAGAGAGAGAATCTAGGGGAAGGAGGGGATAGAGGAAAATCCATGTTTGTAATAGGAAAAACTTACCATGTTGTTTTGGGTGGTGTCCACCAAAATTGACCCCAGTTTCACTATTTGAGAGGAGACATTCTGGGCTTTGGATCTGGGTCAGAGATCAGAACTGAGAGTTAGGTAACATAATCTGAGAGGCTGATGAAAAGTGCTTTCCTAAGTTATATGGCATCTGTGATTCATATCCTAGACTCTTGATAACATCCACAATGCTCAATATTTAAAATCCATTAACTGCTCAGCTTACAAAGAACCACAGGAAAATGTGATTCATTCTTAAGAGAAAGACAGTCAAGGAACACTAAGTCGGATATAACCCTGATGTTGAATTCAAACTGCAGTTTGTGTCTTGGTGGTAGCTCAAACGTCAGTTCTGGTCTCACGTCCTCAGCCGGACTGCTCACACATTGCCCTGAGCATGCATGGTTTTTAGGCCCAGTCAGAGATTAAGGTATAGTTTAGACACAGATTTAGGAACTCTCAATGTCTGACTACTTTTTCCCCAGTATCTTTGGCTGCCTCAGACTCTCTATTCTCTATTTTGTTAATCCAGAAAGACCATAGGTTTTCTCTGCTGATGCATCTTACACACCCAGTTTGGTCTTTCTTCAGGCTAGAAGCTATAAAAATGGGAAACCAATGTCCATCATTCTCTTTTTCCAAGTGCCAGATCCCCTCTAGAATTTGCTTGCTTTTATTCAGTTGCTGATGCCTTCTGTTCATTGTTTGTTTTGTTGTCCTAAGTTTTATTTTCTGCAATAAGGTTGGGTTCAGTAAATGGAAATGCCTGTAAGTAATACCAGCAAATAATGCCTGCAAATGCTTGCAAATCATGCAGTAAAGCAAGAAAAAGAAAAAGTTAAAAATTGAAAAGGAAAAAATACAATTGTTATTTACAGTTGACAATCTAAAATAATCTTTAAATTTTTAGCATAGGTGAATTCAGCAAGATTAATGATACAAGTTCAATATATGGAAACAAATTGTATTTCTGTGCATTAGCAGTAATCAATTAAAAAATCAAGGCTGGACATCGTGGCTCACACCTGCAATCCTAGGACTTTCGGAGGCCAAGGCAGGAGGATCACTTAAGCCCAGGAGTTTGAGACTAGGCTGGGCAACATAGTGGAATCACGTCTCTGTTTTTTATTTTACTTTTGAGATGGAGTCTCACTCTGTCACCCAGGCTGGAGTGCAGTGGCGTGATCTCAGCTCACTGCAACCTCCGGGTTCAAGTGATTCTCCTGTCTCAGCCTCCAGAGTAGCTGGGACTACAGTCACATGCCACCACACCCAGCTAATTTTTGTAATTTTAGTAGAGACAGGGTTTCACCATGTTAGCCAGGTTGGTCTCCAACTCCTGACCTTGTGATCCACCCACCTCAGCTTCCAAAAGTGCTGGGATTACAGACATGAGCCACCACACCCAGCCTCCAACTCTATTTTTTTTTAATATTAATAAAAAAAGAAAATCAAATTAACACAGCATTCATAGTAGCATCAGAAACATTAAATTCCTAGGAATAAACCTGATAAAGAATATATAAGAACACCACACAGAAAAATAAAACATTATTGGGAGAAATTAAAGATCTAAATAAATGAAGGGATAAAGATGTCATGATGTATGAAAGTAGTGCTTATTTTTATTATTGTTTTGAGATAGAGTCTCACTCTGTGGTCCAGGCTAGAATACAGTGGTGTAATCATAGCTCACTTTTACCACAAATTCCTGGGCTCAGCCTCTTGAGTAGATAGGACTATAGGCATACACAACTATGCGCAGCTAATCGGTCTTATTTTTTGTGAAAATAGTGTCTTGCTATGTTGCCCAGGATAGTCTCAAACTCCTGGCCTCCCACCTTAGCCTCCCAAAATGCTGGCATTACAGACACAAGCCACAGCACCTGGCCCTTGAAAACTGTTGTTTAGATACTAATTATCCTCTCACTTTGTCTATAGATGCCATGTAACTCCAATCAACATCTCAGCAAGGTTTTTGGTTTTTGTTTTGGTAGAAGTTGAAAAACCAATTTTAAAATTTATATAGAAATTCAAGGGGCCAAGAAAGCCAAGATAATCATTTTTAAAAGCTGCAGAATTTAAGCTACTATATCAAGGCTAATTATAAAGCTACAGTAATTAGTGTAGTTTTGGCACCAGGATAGAAACATAGGCTAATCGTACAGAATAAGGCACCCAGAAACAGACTCACACATATATGGTCACCAGACATAAAATAAGATGCCACTGCAAATGCATAGTCTCTTCAATAAATGGTGCTAGACCAACTGGCTATCCATGTGGGAAAAAAAAATCCACAAATTTTAATCTATACCTCACACCATAGAGAAAAAAATATCCTGAAATAATGTAAACCTGAGTAAAAGGTAAACAGTAAAAAATTATAGAGTAAACAATAAGAGAGTAGTTTTATGACCTAATGAAGGCAGAAAGCAAAAAAGAATGGATTGATACATTTCACAGATTATATTTTTTCTAAATTAATAACTATCATTTATCCAAAATGTCATTAAGAAAGTAAAAAAGGAAAGCCACAGAATAGACTATAATACATAAATTTGACAAAGGATCTTATGAAGAAAATAAGGAACTTCTATAAATCATTAGGAAAAGACTAACAATCTCACAGATGTAGGCAAAAGACATGTCACAAAAGAGGACATCCAAATTTCCAAAGTGTGTGAAAAGCTGTAAAACATCATTATTAATCAGCAGTAAAATACATATAAAACATCATTATTTTTCAGTAATGTGTTTTAAAAATTAAAATTGTACATCACTACACCCTCCTTCCAGAATAGCTAAAATCATAAAGGCTATAAATACCGAGCGAAAGTAAGGATGAAGAGTCACTAGAACTCTTGTACATTTTTTGTGGGAGGGGATATTGGTATAGGCACTTTGGAAAACTGTTCAGCTTAGCTAGTAAACCAGATATGTATACTCTATGACCTAGAAATTCTATTCCTTGCTATATAACCCAAGAGAAATAAGAGGTTACGTCCATCGAAAAACATGCACAAGAATGCTTGTAGCAGCTTTATTATAAATATCCAAGCTGGAAATAACCAACATGTTCCTTAACACTAGAATAGATAAATTGTGCCACATTTATGTAATAGAATATAACAGCCATGAAAAAGAACAAATCATGCAGCAATGAGAGTGAGTCTCAGTGAAAGCCAGACACAATCCAGATCATACTAAATTTCTATAAAGCCCAAAAACGGTTTAAAAAGAAAAAGATAAAAGTCAAGCTAATGATTACTTTTCCAAAAATATTGAGTGGGAGGAGGGTACAGGGAGACTTTTGGGGTACTCAAAATGTTCCATATCTTGATCTCAGTGGTGTTATCAGGTATAAAAATTCACCAAGCTATATAAAATTTGTGCACTCTATGTATATTATATAATGCAATTGAAAAGTGTAAATAATCAAAAGGAAAGCGTGACAAGTCCTGAGACAGACAGTCTATGGAAAGAAGTATAAAAGGGCATCACTGGGGCCCCTGGTCAGTCTGGTGGACCCACCGCATCCTGGGAAAGGGAACAGCATACATATATAGAGAAATATTTCTGAGCCCCTGGTCCTCTTTTTACCGTGTTGCTTCCTCTCTGAACTTAGATCCAGACAATTTTCAGGAATGGCATGCAACTGAGGACATGTGAAAACAACTTTAAGGTGAAGCACAGTGGCTCATGCCTGTAGTCCCAGCACTTTGGGAGGCCGAGGCGGGTGGATCACCTGAGGTCAGGAGTTCGAGCCCAGCCTGGCTAACATGGTGAAAGCCCATCTCTATTAAAAATAGAAAAATTAGCTGGGTGTGGTGGCAGGCATCTGTAATCCCAGCTACTCGGGAGGCTGAGGTGGGAGAATCGTTTGAACCTGGGAGGCGGAGGTTGCAGTGAGCCGAGATCACAGCACTGCACTCCAGCCTGGGCAACAAGAGTGAAACACCATCTCAAACAAACAAAAGAAAAGAACATTAAAAAGAGACTTTTGAAACACCAACTGCTGAGGAAGGCAAGAGGAAAGCCTGAATGCTGGTGGTTTTCCAGTCTGAACCATGGAGTGGAGGCTGACAGAGAAGACCTGTTGGAGGCCATTTACACAGTGACAGACTGTGCTGAGAAGCACCCGCCCTTCAAAAGACCACCCAGACTGCCGGACTGTCACTGCAGTCTGTCAGGGAGGCCGATTTCTAAACTTACATTTCTTTTTCAAGAAGCAGTGCCTCCTCTTCCTCTTCCATCTTCCTCAGAGCTTCCTGGTATTTCTTTCCATGGAGTTGAAAAAAAAAAATCATAATGGAAAATTTCCATATTTCATCATGATGTCATTAATAAAAATATTCTGCTAATTATTTTCCAAACAGAGTACTCATCAGTATGCACACACAAGTGTGTGTGGGGGGACTTCTAATAAAAATTAGAAGAAGTTAGTGACCAGAATGGATGCGTATGAACAAGAGGAGTTCCCTCTCATTCAGGTCACCGCTTGTATTCAAATCCCAGCTCCGACATTTACTAGCTGTGTTCCCTGTTACTAGCTGTATTCTAACGTCCTGAAACCTCATTGTCCCCTTGAGCATAACTGTCAGTCTACAAATTATTGACCAATTGATTGAGAAAAGTACTATATGTTGAGTGCTTAGCACAGTACTTGGCACAAAGTAAATCCTTAACATACATCCATCTTCTTGTTGCTGTTGTATATAGAGCACTTCCCCAGTGACCCATTCTAGCCTGAAGAAAAACCAAGGAACCCATGGCCTTGGAGAAATTCTGCCCCTACTCGGACTTTTCCTCCAGACACGCTGTACCTTTATGTAGTAGACCTGGTCCTTACAGAGCTCATGCACAGCTTGGTAGTCACTCTCTATCTAAAAAGAAAGGAAATTAACAAACCCCGTGAGTTAAATCAGAACCAAGCCCAACTTCCTCCCTGGGGTTCTACCTGGTACGCTGGCATTTGGCTGGTTACCTTAGCAACTCCTGACTTGAGGAAAAATAATCACATCACAAAGAGGTGATCTCATCATCAGGTACAGGGTCTGATCTTAAGCAGAGGAAATATTTTGCCCAAGTTGTCATATGCCTCTCAGGTGAAATACCAGGGGATGTTTCAAGGCAATTTGGTTCAGAATTCAGCAATGGTATTTGACATAGAGGTGTAGGAAATGGTAAAAACAGTATTTTTAATAGAAGTTTTCTTTTCCTTCAGCTACATAAGAATCAGAAATTCATTTCCAACATGTTCTTGTACTTCGCCCTCCCATGCCTCAATCAGATCTGTTTTTAAGACCCTTGGGTTTCTTTCTCATTATATCCTGGGCAGACCCTCTGTGGAAGAGACACTGCCTCTACCTTGGCCAGCTCCTCCTCTTGCTTTGCACAGGACTCTGTTGTCTTCTGTAGCCTTGCCTGTGGAGGACAATGAGTGACAGCAGAAAGTTACTAGCATTCTTTTGTGGAAAAGAAGTGGGTAATTATCACCATCTCCAGACCAGCAGACAACATGATACTAATGGCTAGCATATGTTGAAGACATATGATAATAACATTTTAGGGTGGACACTTGTAATTGCTCCCCATTTTACAAATGAGGAAACAAAGGTACAGAGAAGTTAAGAATGTAACTTGTTTAAAAGTTGCAGAGTGGCAGAGCATTTATGCCTCAGTAGGCCAATGCCCCATTCAGTGAGTCCAGCCATCCTCCTTCCTCCAGGCCTACTGACCAAAGCTCACCAGCCTCTTCCTCCCATTCATAGTGTGCACTGGCATGTCCTCTGAATCAGAAAATAAAAGAGGAACTTGGGCCGGGCATGGTGGCTTGTGCCTATAATCCCAGCACTTTGGGAGACCAAGGCAGGTGGATTACTTGAGGTCAGGAGTTTGAAACCACCTTGGCCAACATGGTGAAACCCCATCTCTACTGAAAAAAACAAAAATTAGCCAGGTATGGTGGCATGTGCCTATAGTCCTAGCTACTCAGGAGGCTGAGGCAGGAGAATTGCTTGAACTTGGGAGGCAGAGGTTGCAGTGAGCCAAGATCTTGCCACTGCACTCCAGCCTGGATGACAGGGTGAGGCTCCATCAAGACAGACAGAGAGAGAGAGAGAGAGGGAGAGAGAGAGAGGGAGAGAGAGAGAGGGAGAGAAACCTGGCTCCTCTTTTTCTGAGAAATACATAAGACAATGGAGCTCTTGTATATTGGGCTCCATTAAATTGCCACACTCACCACATAAACATGCAGAGAGCTTCCTAACAGGGTTTTTCCCCACTATTGGGTGTCTAGTACATTCATTCATTCAATATATATTTATTGGGCATCTACTATGTGCCAGGCAGATAGTTCTAGACACTGGGGAAACAAATGAACAACATAGACAACAATTCATGTTCTCAATGGGTTTATCTTCTAGCAGAGGGAAAAATAAATAAATAAATAAATAAATAAATAAATAAACTTCTTTAGCCTTTGAGGTATGTGTTGGAAAATCAGAAGATCATGACACAACCCTGTATGATTATGGGAGTTAATATTTTCTTCCTATTGAATATCTTATTTGTGTGTCCTCACTTAAATAATAAACTTCTGGAGGGCAGGTCCCAATGGGCATTCAGGACATGTGTTTTATTGACTGTGGAAGATGGGGACTTTGGAGCAGTTCCCTCCACTTTGATCTACTGCAGTCACTCTGCTCTTAGTGTGACTTGTGACGTTATGAATGCCCCACAGGCCGTGGGATTACATACAGGGAATAAAGGACACTGACTCATCTCTGATAAGTACATGGGAATAATCAGTACATACCCTAGAGGAGTCCTTGAGAGCAATTTCTCCCAGGATCTATAATTCACACATCTCCCAGAAAATCTGTTTTTTCTACTTACCTTAATTTCCTCCAGTTTCTTCTCTGTAGTTTCTTTTTCAAAACCGACATTTGTAAATCGTCCTGAAATCTTAAAAAGCATTCTAAAAATCATGAACTAAGTAAGGCACATAGACATGAAAACCTAGGACAGTGGCAGACTGGGGGTCCCAGGCTGCAGATGGTGGTTACTAATTTGGGCCCTGGATAGAAGCTTGGCAGAAAAGCATCTCCTTCTCCCTGTGGAGGCTGCCTGACTCCATGCTGGCTGGACAGACCTTTCTGTTCCTGTAGCCCATGGAAGCAAGGCCACAGTGAGGAGGGGAGGACGATGAGAGAGGGAAGAGAGAATGGGGCAGAGTGGTGGGAGGAAGGATAAGTCTTTTCTCCTTCCTTTATGGCCCTTTAACCCTCTCACCGCAATCTGTAATGCCCAGAGAACAACTGGCAGCAGCAGTGAGGAGGGAGCGTGCAGACTCTGCCAGTTGCCCTTTCTTCTCCAGTCTCTGTGATTAGAGAGTTCTAGAAGATAACTCTTACTGGGAGTCCTAAGAAACGAGGCTTGTTTCCAAGGCAGGCTTTGTTGTGTGGAGAACAGCCTTTCCATTAAAGTTTATGTATATTTTCTCATTCTGAATGTGCCTAGGACCCCTCCTGCATGCGCCCAGTCCAGCCCACCAGCCTTTCTCTTGTGAAAACACTATGTTCTTAGGGACTCTGGGACCTTAAAAAACCCAGGGCTCCCCTTACCTTGTTCTGAAGCTCCACCACATTCCTGCTTAGGATTGCATTACTTTTTTCCTATGGAGAAAAAGGGAGTCAGGGAAGAAAGTTGCTCTGCCATCATCTCTCCCCCTTCACCAGGCCACTAGAATAATATCTGGGGATAAGTCTATCAAGTTGGAAAAGTGCACTCTGGCTCACACAGCAGATCTGGGAATAAAGCCCTTCAGCCCCCATGCCCAGTGCTTCATTCCCAGAATACTCTTTTAAACAGCCGTGATTTTAGTTACAGAAGCAATGAACATGGGATGACTTCCTGGGAGAGAGACAGCAGCAGAATGCAGACAAAATGCATACAGCGGTCCTTTTCTAGATACCTCCTTACCAGCTTTGCTGTCTCTAATTCCAGCTCCCTAAGGGATTCCTCCTGTTCGTTTATGATAGAGGTCAACTCCTCCTCCTCTTTGGCTTGTTCTAGTGACAGGGCCAGCTCTCTTTCCAGACTGAAAAATATAAAGTCACCCAGGTGTGAATCAGCTCCTAAGGAAGCTGCCTGGGTCCCAGTTGGAGACGCTACTTCCAAAGTCTCAGGAAGTCGGAATAACTACCAGTGCAGTGGCAATAAAATAATCAAACTAATGTGAAAATTTAATTCAAACATCTATACATAAAGTGTTTTCAGGTCACTGTAGTTCATACTTTAGGATTTAAATAACACATCAATATTCATAGTTCATACTTTAGGATTTAAATAACACGCCAAGATTCACTATCAAATAACTGAAACTTTCTTCCATCTTCTGTATCACAAAGGATCTAGAGGGGAGGAGAGGCCCTTCCTTCACCAACTGCAAAGCCTTACCTTGGAATAGTTTCTTCTTTCTCTTTAATTTTTCTAAGGAGAATCTGATTCTCCATATCCAGTTTCTGCAGGTCCTTTTCAAGGTCTGAATTCAGGCAGTCAAGGTTCTGTTTTATGGCTTCTAATGATGGTAATTCCATCATCTGGCACCTACAGAAAAATAATCTTTATCAACAAACTCAGGACACGAAAACATAGGTGCTCTAAGAAGACGTTGCCCTATAATTTCATTCATTATTTTCTTCTGTTGCTAATAAGCCTAACCAGCCTTATTTGTTTTCCATGATAAATTGATTTCTATACTATTTTGCATAAAGTAAATTCCTGGAGTGGACCCACACTTTAATTTTAAATACTATAAGTGGAACCCACTGAAACAAATCTTTTACGAAGCAAAAGAAATATTTTTTCAAGTGAATACGTTAGCACACTTATTTTTAAAAATTTTATATGAAGTATGCAGAATCCAAGTGATACCTCTAAAGCATTTAAAGACCTGCAAGGGAAAGATTTCTCCTTTTGTTATCTTCTAACCTAGTCAGGGAGGGACATGGGCTGAGTGGAGGCCAGAAGGGGGATGAACTTTTCCTGCAAGACTGATTAGCTGTTTCAGACACTAGAGATCTTTGAAAACCCCATCATTAGTCTGATGAAGAACAGAGAACTGAACCAAAGTTCCTTCTCCCTAGGAAGTCTCCCCAGACTTGAGGAGATAAGGTCCTGCACAATGGAGCTCTTTTTGACTGGATTGCTGGAGACTCTTCTCGTGGAGGTTCCCCTATTGAACTCTTTTATTTTTTCCATACTTACACATCATCCAGTGGATTCTGTCCAATGTCTTCCATCATAGGTTTCCTAAAATGTTAATGCAAACAACTGTTATGGAAAAGCCCCTCACAGCCATTGCAGTAATTGCCCCAGGAAGGAGCAGGTAAAAGGTAGACCTTGTGTTTAGGCAACACAGAGCCAAGAAGAAACCTAAGCCTCCTACGCTCTCACACTTTCCAGGATCAATTGCAGTATTTTTTACAAGCTAAATTTCAGTAAACCAGATCATATTTTAATTTAAAAATCTCATAAATGAATCCCACTGGAGTACAGGAATCTTTTTGTTTTTAAGATTTTCCATACTTTGGCTCTATTTTCCTTTTCTCACCTACATTTGTCCCCACATGAGTAAAGTTGCTAAGGGTACTCATGCATGTTTATTGGCAAATACACTGAGTGTTTGTTTCCAACCAAACCTTCAGAGAAAGTTTAAAAAAATAGTAGAAGAGTTAGAGAGTACCAAAAAGTTGGCTGATTGATTTCTGTTAGTTTATTACCATCCTACTTTCCAAGAAAGCTCTAGCTATTATAAGCTGAGATGACCCTGAAACAACAGCAGAAGTAGCAGCATGGGCAACAGGATACAACTACTAAAAGGAAGAAACACAAGTCAGGCTGTCAGGCACAGCATATCCTAATCATTACCCTACAAAATTCAGGACCAAATCCAACCCAAGAAAAGTAGAATACTAAATCTCTATTCTTTCACTTGCACCTTTTCTTCTTTTTCTTCCTGTTTAAGCTCTTTTAATTCCCTTTTCAACTTCTTCTCCCACCTCCTTCTTTATTCTAAATCTCTTCTCCCTGCATTTCGCTTTCTTTCTGTGGTCATTACACACAGCAATGTGATGTGATGATGCCCTCTGAGCTCACCCTTCTCTTCCCAGTTGAGATTTCTTCTGCTCCCAACAGAGATTTCCAACTGAGCATCAGAACTATCAGCAAGGGCAGTATTAGTAAATAGTTACAGTGCCTGACTGAGTCCTCCACGCATAATTGGACCTATTACATCATCTCTGTGTACAAATTGTGTACAAATTGCTGCCCCCAAATCTAAACCATGAATCTGTATTGAATGCATTATACCATCTCTGGCTGGGCAGGGCAGCGTGTCATAGTGGGTGAGATGGGTGAGGGTGGGTAGGGGTTGGGCGGGGCAGCAACAATCCAGCTACGGCATCCCTGTGGACACAGTGGGAGTAGAGTTCAGCACTTTAGGACAGTTTAGATCTCTTCTGTAGCAGCAATAGGATCTATGAAACAGATTTCCAGGCACAGTTTAAATCTCTTCTGAAGCAGTAATCAGTTCTATAGAACATATTTCATTTTACCAAATCTCTAAGCCTAATGGTAGTTGTGATCACTTTCATTTCTCTTTCATGATCTCTGTGTGGCATGTGTACAAACTGCTGCCCCCAAATCCAAACCATGAATCTGTATCGAAAGCATCCAAGAGCTACAGGGTAGGGATGTAAGAGAGCAGGCCAGGAAGGACCTGAGAGACTTACTTATGAGCTAAGCAAGCCCATTCATTCTCACCCAATCAGATTCTTGGAGTTGCAAAACAAGCTTCTTTATTTTCCCTGAATTGGCAATGCCACCACTGGGAAAGAAGGATCTGATGTTTCAAAGGTGGAAGGAGTGTGTGTGGGTGGAACAGGAAGGAGAGGAGTGTAGGGTCCAGAGATTCCATTTTACCACCCACTCCTTTGGAATTCCCTTTGCTTTTTAAGGTCTTAAATTGCTGGAACAGTCGATGGAATTTTACACATCAATGTCACTGCACTAACCATTCCTAGATTATTCTCTGCTGACTCAGAAGATGAGGCAGGATACAGAATTGAAGAGATATCAGCAAAGATGTGTGCTTGAATTTCAAGTCTGTCCATTTCTGTCCTGTATATGCAATTGACTCATCTATGACATTTTTTCTTTTGCTTTTTAAGCTCAAATGGACAAAATTTTTCTGTGATCTAAGTCTAACCTTTTCCAGATAAATTGTACGAATCTCAAGTCACTGAAGTCCTTATAGAACACACTAATGTTTCTCCCCAAATCTCTCTCCCATGCAGTAATGTCTCCCATAATCTTATCCATCCTTTTCAGTTCAGCTGAAATGCTGCTTCTGTTTCAGTAGGTAGCTAGTAAGACATGAGCGGACCAGAAGAGGACTTTCCCACCACACACACGCACACACCAGGAATCAGGAATGCCAGGTGACCATCAGGTGATGGTCGGGCGGTTGTTACACTGCCTCTCTAAAATAATAATTGGTCACAGCCGGTACCAGGGAAAGGCAGTCTCCCAGTAGATAGAAACACCCGAAGTTGGTGATCATCAGCTTTCTGGTAAGGTCTCAGGAGTTGGACAAGTGGGCTCAAGCATGGACGTTAAGAGGCAAAATGGCAGAGTTTAACTGGTATATGACCTCCTAGGAACATTTGACTGGTGAGGGAAGAACACCTCAAATGAGCATTCGTACAGTACTAGTAAACACGCTGCGCATTTCGCCTCCCAAGTGCTGGCAGGGCGCTGCGCATGCGGATAGCCCACTCCAAGGGAAAAATCAGGGGAGCCGGGATGCAAGACCCCAGAGGTATGGCAACATATAAAACCCCAAGTCAAAAGATCAAACCATGCACTTGACCTCTCCAGTTGCCCGCTTGGCCCTCTTCCGAGTGTAGAGTGTACTTTATTTCATTTCTGCTCTATAGCTTTTTTTTTTTTTTTTTCTTTCAGACTCTGCAACTCCCCTCTAAAGCTTTTTAACAAACCTTCCCTCCTGCTCTAAAACTTGGCCCGGTGTCTCCTTCTGCCTTTAGCTCCTCGGTTCAATTCCTTCTTCTGAGGAGGCGGGAACTGATGTTGCTGCAGACCCGTATGGATTTGCCACTGGTAACACTTCTACAGCTTCCTGGATGCCAGCCCCAATCCTGGCAGAATTATTTCCTCTAATCTCTTTTTGCCTCTTTGGGGATTTTTATATTGTTTTCAGGAATATGAGCATGCTGGTCTTCATTCCGCAATTAGGCCATAAACCCTTTTGGAGAGTATGTTTTAATTAAAACTATTTTTATTTAGGCTGTAGGGGCCCTGTTTACAGGAAATTCAATAGGAATAGTGACTCCTGATATTGTCCAAGAAGGGACCTTGGGCAAGTTACTTAAAAGTCTCTAAGCTCAATTGTCCTGACTGATGAAATGGGCACTACTTCTACTTCACAAAGTTGTGGTGGTTATTAGATGAAATCATATATTTAAAGCCCCTAACACAATGCCTGGAATACGGTGAGTGGCATCTATTAATCCCCAACATGATAGATATTTTATTTTTTTATCTCATGTTTCTTTTGCACGTGGCATATGCTGAGTATTTTTAGAATAAATGAATTAATAAATGACTTGTTCTTCTCCCTTTGTCTAAAACAGGTGTTCTTCACCCTTTTCTCTTTCCAACACACCTGAGAGACTCTCATCTGTACTCTCCCATTAGAGTACAGTGTACTCTTCCATCAGCAATACATTGCACTATGGCAGAACTCCCAACAGAGGGCCACATTCCCCACGACACCTATCCACAGTCAACAGAAATGTAATTTGAAAGCCTTTGTAAAATGTCCCAGAGCAGTAGACACCTCTGGTTGAGAATCACTAATGAGGAACATTTTCCCTCCACTAAACTGCATTTTTCTTTTCTTAAAGACTGCAAATTCACCCTTTCCATGAAACCTCCCGAAATAAACCTTTCTTACCTTATTGCTCCAAGTAGATAATGTGCACTTGGGAAGTGACCATATTTCCCTTTTTTACTTTACAACCAAGAAGCCAAAGCCACATTTGAAGCCCCAAATTTTTATGATTGTGCTGAACATCATGGTGTATAGTCTCATTTTTATATTCACATGATCCTGATTTTTTCCCATTGTCTTGGTGATTAACATTCAGCTCTTCATTACTTATTTAAATTTCCACAGCCAGATTAAATTTCTCCTCAGAAAATGGAATTTTCTTTTCTATAGTGTTGTCAGCTTGCAAATTTTCCAAATTTTTATGTGCTCTGTTTACCTAAAACTGAATGTGATTAACAGCACCCAAGTCACCTCTTGAATGCTTTGCTTCTTGGACATTTCTTCTGCCATATACCCTAAATCATCTATCTCAAATTCAAAGTTCCACAAATCTCTAGAGTGGGGGGAAATGCTACCGGTCTCTGCTAAAATATAACAAGAGTGACCTTTGTTCCAGTTCCCAACAAGTTCCTCATCTCCATTTGAGACCGTCTCAGCCTGGATTTCATTGCCCATATCATTATCAGCAGGTTGGTCAAAGCCATTCAACAAGTCTCTAGGGAGTTCCAATTCCAAACTTTCCCACATTTTCCTGTCTTCTAAGCCCTCCAAACTGTTCCAACCTCTGCTATTACTCAGTTCCAAATTCACTTCCACATTTTCAGATATCTACAACAAAGCCCCACTCCCAGTACTGATTTACTGTATTAGTCCATTTTCATGCTGCTGATAAAGACATACCAGAGACTGGGAAATTTACAAAAGAAAGAGGTTTGTTGGACTTACTGTTCCACATGGCTGTGGAAGCCTCACTATCATGGAGGAAGGCAAAGAAAAGCAAGTCATGTCTTACATGGATGGCATCAGGGAAAAAGAGAGGGAACTCGTGCAGAGGAACTCCTCTTTATAAAATGAGCAAATTTCTATCATTTTATATCACAAGAACAGGATGGGAAAGACTTCCCCTCACGATTCAATTATCTTCCACAAGGTCTCTCCCATAACACATGGGAATTCAAAATGAAATTTGGGTGGGGACATAACCAAACCATATTAGTCACCTTGACTTTTCTTACTCTGGTTTTTCTCTTGGACACAATCCTGGGATTCTTCCTTAGTTTCACTCTGTCACCCATAAATCATATTCCCCAACTGTGTACCCAGTCTAGCACTTGGAACTGTAAATCCCATATGTTTACATAGGGCATGAGGGCTGTCGGAAGCCTGAAATCTTTAGTGATGATAAAGATACACTATGACTATTATAGTGGTTAACATAGTGAGCCTTGAGTTGATTTGTCAGTAAATGCATGAAACAGTAAACAAATTTACTAAGTAGTTGACTGAGAGAGCAAAGTTGAGGGAGTTTCCTGCTAGAAACAAATATTTGGATGGGTTATGCTAATTAAAAATGGAAAGTTTGCACTCTGGATTGGGATAAATGAATGCACATATTTGTACTAGGTAGGCTAAAGCAAATGTCTTCGTTCACTGGTCAAGAAAGAGTTTTCAATTTGATCCAGTAGGGGTCTGGCACACTGGGATCTCTTAAACGTCTTAGTCATTTGTCATCTTTATATAGTGGATTGCTCAAAGACGACAGTCTCTCTCTCTCTTTCTCTATTAAACTTTTTATTTAGACATGATTATAAGAAAACATAGCACCAAGAGGCTGCATGTACTCATTACACAGTTTTCCTCAAATACCTTTCATTTCTATAGTACAATATAAAAACCAGGAAATTGACATTGGTGCAAAGTGTATAGATACCTCTATGACGTTTTATCACAAGTGTAGATTTGTGTAACCACCACCACAATGAAGATTCAGAACTCTTTGATCGCCACAGAGATCATCCTCATACTACCTCTTTATAGGCATATTCATTTTCTTCTCCTCCGCTATCCCTAAACCCTAGCAACCACTAACGTATTTCTCATATCTATAATTTTATTACTTACAGAATGTTCTATAAATGGAATCATATGGTGTGTGATCTTTTGAGATTGACTTTTTGTTCCACTATTTTTATTCCTGAAATCCAACCAAGTTGTTTCATGTATCGATAGTTTATTCCTTTTTATTGGTGAGTAATATTCTGTGGTAGGATATAACATAGTCTGTTTATTCATCTATTGAAGGACATTCACTAGTTTCTATGT